TGGAGTATGCAGCACCAGTTTGGAATCCACACCTAGTCAAGCACGTCAAGAAATTAGAGAAAGTGCATAGGTTTGAAACAAGACTAGTCCCAGAGCTACGGGGATTGTCCTATGAAGAAAGGTTGAGGGAAATCGGCCTGACGACACTGGAGGCCAGGAGGGTCAGGGGAGACATGATAACGACATATAAAATACTGCGCGGAATAGACGAGGTGGACAAAGACGGGATGTTCCAGAGATGGGACACAGACACAAGAGGTCACAATTGGAAGTTGAAGACTCAGATGAATAAAAGGGATGTTAGGAAGTATTCTTCAGTCATAGAGTAGTCAGGGCCATGGAATAGCCTAGAAAGTAGATGTGGTGGAGGCAGGGAACCATACATAGTTTTAAGGGGAGGTATGATAGAGCTCATGGGGCAGGGAGAAGAGAGGACCTAGTAGCAATCAGCGAAGAGGCGGGGCCAGGAGCTGTGACTCGACCCCTGCAACCACAAATAGGTGAGTACAAATAGGTGAGTACACACATACACACACACACACACACACACACACACACACATACACACACACACACACACACACACACATACACACACACACACACACACACACACACACACACACACACACACACACACACACACACAACACACACACACACACACACACACACACATACATACACATACACACACACACACACACACACACACTTACACACACATACACACACACACATACAACACAACACACACACACACACACACACCACACACACACACACACACACACACACACACACACATACACACACAACACACACACACACACACAACACACACACACACACACACACACACACACACACACACACACACACACCAACACAACACACACACACACACACACACACACACACACACACACACACAACACACACACACACACACACACACACACACACACACACACACACACACACACACACACACACACACACACACACACACACCCATACACACACATACACACACACACCACACACACACACACACACACACAACACACACACACACATACACACACATACACACACACACACACACACACACCCCACACACACACACCACACACCATACACACACCCCACACACACACACACACACACACACACACACACACACACACAACACACACACACACACACACACACACACACAACACACATACACAAAACACACACACACAACACACCACAACACACACACAACACACACAAAACACACACACAACACACACACACACAACACACACACACACACAACACACACTACACCACAACAAAACACACACACACACACACACACACAACCACACACACACACACACATACCACACATACAACACACACACACACACACACACACACACACACACACACACATACACACACATACACACACACACACACATACACACACACACACACACACACACACACACACACACACACACACACACACACACACACACACACACACACACACACACACACACACCAGTGAGTGATATTCACTACTACGTGACCAGGAACTATAAGGACACCTTTAACCTGAAGGAGCTGAGTTGCACTGAGTATTGAAGTTGCCACCGCTCAATAAATCCAGGTTCCGCAGGTGGCGTACCTGGTGACCGTAGTGCTGTTGCTGCTGTTGCTGCTGTAGCTGCTGTTGTTGTTGTTGCTGTTGTTGCTGCCGTTGCTGATGATGTTGCTGATGTTGCTACTGTTGCTGTTGTTGCTGCCAGTGCTGATGCTGTTGCTGAAGTTGTTGCTGTTGCTGATGTTGTTGCTGATGTTGCTACTGTTGTTGTTGCTGATGTTGCTACTGTTGCTGTTGCTGCTGCAGTTGCTGATGTTGTTGCTGATGTTGCTACTGTTGCTGTTGTTGTTGTTGTTTCTGTTGTTTTCTGGGCCCGGCTGATGCCTGTTGATGTTGTTGCTGATGTTGCTAACGTTGCTGTGTTGTTGCTGATGTTGCTACTGTTGCTGTTGTTGCTGCCGTTGCTGATGTTGTTGCTGATGTTGCTACTGTTGCTGTTGTTGTTGCTGCTGTTTCTGTTGTTGCTGCCAGTGCTGATGCTGTTGCTGAAGTTGTTGCTGAAGTTGTTGCTGATGTTGCTACTGTTGCTGTTGTTCCTGAAGTTGTTGCTGTTGCTGTTGTTGTTGCTGAAGCTGCTCCTGAAGTTGCTGCTGTTGCTGTTGTTGCTGATGTTGATGCTTTTGCTGCTGTTGCTGATGCTGCTGTTGTTCCTGATATTACTGATACTGTTGTTGTGTTGCTGATGCTGCTGTTGTTCCTGATATTGCTGATACTGTTGTTGTGTTGCTGATGCTGCTGTTGTTCCTGATATTGCTGATACTGTTGTTGTGTTGCTGATGCTGCTGTTGTTCCTGATATTGCTGATACTGTTGTTGTGTTGCTGATGCTGCTGTTGTTCCTGATATTGCTGATTACTGTTGTTGTGTTGCTGATGCTGCTGTTGTTCCTGATATTGCTGATACTGTTGTTGTGTTGCTGATGCTGCTGTTGTTCCTGATATTGCTGATACTGTTGTTGTGTTGCTGATGCTGCTGTTGTTCCTGATATTGCTGATACTGTTGTTGTGTTGCTGATGCTGCTGTTGTTCCTGATATTACTGATACTGTTGTTGTGTTGCTGATGCTGCTGATGTTGCTACTATTGATGATATTGTTGAAACTGTTGCTGATGTTAATGATAATGCTGCTGTTGCTGCTGTTGATGTTGCTGCTGTTGATGTTGCTGCTGTTGTTGCTGCTGTTGATGTTGCTGCTGTTGTTGCTGCTGTTGATGTTGCTGCTGTTGTTGCTGCTGTTGTTGTTGTTTCTGTTGCTCTTGTTGATGTTGCTGCTGTTACTGTTGTTGCTGCTGTTACTGCAGTTGTTGGTGATGTTGATGTTGCTGCTGTTGTTGTTGTTGCTGCTGTTACTGCAGTTGTTGGTGATGTTGATGTTGCTGCTGTTGCTGCTGTTTCTGATGTTTCTGATATTTTTGTTATTGCTGATATTGCTGAAGTTGCTGATGATACTGACGTTGTTGATGTTGCTGGTGCTCATGTTGTTGCTTCTGTTGTTGCTATTGTTGTCCTTGCTGCAATAACGGCAGCATCAGCGTGCCTACAACAGCGTGCCTGCAACAGCGTGCCTGCATCAGCGTGCCTACAACAGCGTGCCTGCAACAGCGTGCCTGCAACAGCGTGCCTGCAACAGCGTGCAACAACG